GAGGAAGGAGAAGGGAAACTTTTTGCTTTGCTGAAGGGCTGAGGTAGGGAAGTACAAACCAACACTGTTCATCAGTGTCTGGTAGTATAGGTTGTCATTTAAAGCAATGTCTCAGCTGATGGATGTGAGTGTTGCGGGAATAATAAACATGGTTTGTCACCTCCCTATGGCATAATAATTCATCATACCATAACTAGCTATTCATATATCCTGCTAGTTTTCATATTTTCCAAGTGCAGTTTAAGAGGATAATTTGTTAAATAGTTCTGGGATGAGGCTGTAGGTATGTGTGTTGTCATTTTGCCCTGGGTTAGTGTGCTATTTTTAATTGCCTATGATCATATCCAGCTCTCTGTAAATTGTCTCCTCTGTCATGGAAAATGAAGTTAAGGTCATTGTCAGGTTCTTTTGAGCAACAAAAAATTTCCTTTCAGGACGTAGCATGTGCTTTGCTTAAGTAAAAGTAAGCACGAAAAACAACAACTTGTCCTCTTGTGAGTATTGTCTCAGCCTCTCTTTGGTCAGTCTTGTTTGTTGATTCTAGAATGGCCACCTGATTGAAATATCTGGAGAGTGCAAACCTGTTGTTTATTTGCTTTGAGGAAAATTAGTTTGATTCTAGATATTGGAATGGGGGATCAGATTCTGCTCTTTATACCATTACTGGTAATCCAGAGTGACTGCATTGAAGACAAGGGAGTTGCATCTGATTTAGGGCCCAATTCAGAAAAATACTAACACACATGCTTAAATTTTTAAGTCAGTGGTATGTATACTCATACCTGAAGTTCAGCATATGCTAAAGTGCATCCCTGAATCAGAGACTTACACTGGTGTAACCGAGGCCAAAATCTGGCCTAGCGTCTTAGTTCCAAATTCTGATATTGGTTACACTTGTGTCACTCCTATTTAACTCCACTAATACTGATGAAGTGACTCCAAATTTACACCAGTGTCACTACAATTAGAATTTGGCCTTTTGTCTCTAAGAGTTTTAAAGACATATTGTCCTTTCTTTAAGCTCCTCCCAACCAGTTGTAAAAAGTAGTTTTCTGCTAACATGAAATTTGGTAAACAAATCTGTCAGTTCAATTACAGATTTTCTTAGGCAGGTAGGTAGGTAGGCTTGATGTTTTCTGGGTATTGTGAGCCAGATCCTCAACTGGTGTAAACTGGCATTACTCTACTGACTTCTGTAGAGCTACATTTCCTTACAGCAGCTGAGGGTCTGCATTTATTCAGCTTTACAATCAAAAAAGTTTCCATTCCTTGCTATCAGTATAACACATACTTGTAAAGTAAAATTAGTTGAGATCTTCTCCCATTGTGAATAACAGCAAGCTTTTCTCTCTGGTGATCATCCCTGGGTCCTTAACCTTGTATTCCTGGTTTATCTGGGGTGGGGAGGAGAATTAATATCATTGTCCTTCAGATTTCTTGTTCTGCTGCCTCCTTTATCTCTCCCATCCTTGAGCGCCTTTCTTCAAGCTGCAAACACCTTATTCATGTTAGTGCGTGCCTTTGCAGGCTTTTTGGTTGCTAAGCAGCAGGTATACATATGCAATTCAGATACAAAAAGACGCTGCTCCAAACTTTCAACAGAGACCCCTGTATTTTATTGTTACCTGGCTACTGCATGCAAAGGGCACATACAGGATTTTCTGCAGCCTGGGTTTCTTTTCATTATGCATCCTGTGACGTACCCACAGCAGCTCTAAGGTGTGGAAGATGAGCTAGCTGTGTGACTCCATTTGATAGAACTATCAGGTCTCTGCCCTGGGGATCTATCTCTGAAACAAACAATGATTCCTGGTAAGAGAGCTTTTTGTCAGACATAAAGCTCCTCTCTTGAGGGATTTCATGATAATGTTATCTCTGAAGCATATTCTTCCATTGGTAATCCTCTCAATTTCATGTTCCCCTTGGCTTCTCTTCTTGTTTCTGGCAATCCCTCAGTTGCTAGTTTGTCTCATCTCCCTTCTTTGTGCCTGTTGTTCTTTAATTCCACCTTTCCCATCACCAGGTGACCGAGGTGCAGTGAGAACAGGGTTGTGTATGCATGCAGAGCTCCAACGTGCTTTATATCCTAACAACAGTAAAAACCCAGGGTGTGTGGTGTAATATTGGCTAAACAGTCTGAGACAACAGAGCCTTGACCTCTCCTGGGGATCAACAGAGGGAAATGATCAGTTTTCACTCATCAGTGATTTAGATTTTGTCCCGTAGTTTTGTCAAATCATTTACTTTTTACATTCCAATCAGTTTCATTCTGATTATCCTTATAAAGGATAATTGTGTATGTTTAATCTTTTGCTCAGCTGCGCTTTAAACTTAAGTGTAGGCAAAGCCTCAGTTTTTCCATCTGTAAAATGGGAATGGTACATGTCCCCCTAGCAAATGAAAGGCACAAACCAAGTGCAAAGTGTTTTTAATTTTTTTTTTGTAATTAATCTTAGATCACCTCCTTTACTGGCTGCATTTTTAATGTATCTTCCTGTATCCTCCAGGAATGATTAGCTCAACTATGAGAAAGAAAGCCAGGTTCTAGGCTGGTTCATGACCATCAACAGAGTGAACTGAGTTGTCCTTGCAGGGCCAGATATTCTTCTCTCAGATAAACATGGGCAACCCTATTCAGCAGACACATTAACCATTTTTTTAAGGCAATAGGTTACCACAGATGTAGCTAATGGCAGAATGTGGCCTTGTAGGCTTCAAATTACGGGTGATGGTGCATGTGGAGTAAAGATTCCAAGAATACATTTCTTTGCATGGTAAAATAGCTGCCATAATAATAACAATAAAAAAGCATAGACTGCCTCTGAGCTCCTTCAGTTATGAATGAGTTGGCAGTTTTCATGACAAGTTCAGGCTTTTGAAATTGTCCTGAGGTGGCATTTGACATCCTAGTTCTCAGTCGATTTATGCTTTTGTGTCTGTGTTCCAGGACATAGATCATTTTAAACCAAGAGTGCATTTAATAGTGTGAGTTAAAGCAGTTTTAGTTCAACTCAAGAGCAGCAAGAAAAGTCATATCAAATTCTAGCCCCGGGATTTAATTACTAATGAGAGTGACACATCAAGATGAGAACCAATAAATAATTGTTTGTTTTCTTTCCCTGTGGTTTCTGTTCAGCATGTTTAAATCTTTTGCCTTCCACCCTTTTTGTTCTTGGGGGGAAAAATATTTTCTAAGATCTGGCCTCTTTTGTGAACTGAGTGCTGTTAATGTCATGAAGGGAATCAAAAGTACCTTGAAGTGACTGAAGAAACCTCAGTGCCCAAACAATATCAGCTAAGCATATCCAGTAATTCCTTTCCATAACATTTTTTTTTACACAGCCATTTCCCCAATCACTTGATAGGGATTTAGCTTTGTCATAACAAACTCCTGCCAACGTCAAGGTAAGTCCGTAAGGATTACATTCTGATATCAGAAGGATTTTGGTCCAAGTTTACGGAGTAAATATTATGCCGGAAGGGAGGAAGGCAAAGTGAAATATGAGATTCAGCGTCATTGGTGGGATTTAAACATTGAGAAACAAAGAAAGGGAATTAAATGTGAAAAATCGTTTTGTCTGTCTAATCTGTGTATTTATAAAGCCCCCATTCACTGTGGTATCTTGGTGCATGGAGACAAATAATTGCAAGTTACCACATTTTGTGGGAAGGCTATGATGACGTACTTAAACCATCCCTGTTTGCCTAGGTATGGCAACATGTATGTTCCTGTCTTGCATAGTTTTAGAAAAGTGACAACTCTTCTTACATTTATAGCCCTGCAATATTTGCCACAGTGGCACCAGGTCACAGATTAAATTGCCAGCTAATTTTAGGCTATTCCTCTTCTTATTTTGTCAGCTGTAAAGTTGCTTAAATTTAATGTGCTTGTTGATCGGGTGCTAAATCAAGAGAATGAGAATCAGCGCACCCAGTTTCTATTTCTAGCTCTGCTATTGAGTCACCGTGTGACCTTAAATAATTCACTCTGTCCTTTTGTGCCTCAGTTTACTCTTCTGTAATATATTTACCATAATTGGTGCCTAGCTTAAATGGGTGTCAAGAGACTTAACTAGTGTTTGTAAACTGCTTTGACACCCCTGGGTGAAAGTCATTAGAGCAGCTCAAAGTATTATATGCAGGTCTGGTAGCACCGCCTATTATTAAGGTTGTCTGACACTTCCCATTATAAGACCCTGTTTCCAGTTGCTTATAGCTTTGCCTAGTCTCTGTAGAATGTAGGTGTAGAGTAAGATTTTCAAAAGTGTCTAGTTGTTTTTGGGATATTTCTGTTTGAGTCACCTTAAAGGCATGTGATTTTTCACAGTGAGGATGCTCAGCAGTTTCTGGAAGGCAGGTTTCTTTGCGATATCTCAATTTCGGCCTCTGCAGTCACTAATCACATTTGAAAATCTCAGCTTTAGTCTTTCCGTAAGATTAAGATACCTAGTAAATTAAAGAATTGACTCATAATTGCCATTTATAGGCCAGTCTTATTTGCCCCGCCACATAGGATAATCTGTGAGTGAGTTATAGATAATGCTCAATCACTCTATTGGACAGAGTTACAAATGGTTCCTCCTGTGACAGTAGCAATCAATCAAATGCACACGGTATACGAAGGATTGTTGCACCAGTCAAAGTGACCACGGTTGATGGCATCATGCCAGGCATGAACATAGTGATGCTTTAGTTAATGTGGATTTAATGGGTGGATTTACCTCTATAATAGGTGCTTTATCTTACACTGTCCTGTTGGAGTTTTTCCGTGTGCTATCTTGCTCTTTTACTCACTTGGCTGTAAATCACACTCTTAGTGACATGCATTTTACATCCTCCTGTAATTGGCCCTCGTCTATTTTCTGGTCTAAATCTGAGCACCTCTAGAGAGTAGATCTGTGCCATGTAACTTACTTGTCCCCTCTCCCCTCTTGTACTTAATCCTAGCCTGAAGAACTCACCAATGCCCTGGAGATCAGCAACATTGTCTTCACAAGCCTCTTTGCCCTGGAGATGCTGCTGAAAGTCCTCGTGTATGGTCCATTTGGCTACATCAAAAATCCATACAACATCTTTGATGGGATCATTGTAGTGATCAGGTACCAGCATGATGTTCTGCTTACAAGGGTTTCAAGGCTGTTGAATGAGAACAGAGGATGATGGATAGAAAGGCCTTTCTGAGTCACTTTAGGTCCCTGTGATCTTATGTTAGCTTTTGTATCCCACAATGTTGTTTCCCAATCTTCTGAAAACTCGCTGTAGCAGCCCACCTTGTTCCTGTCTTTGGTGGTTCATTATATAGACAGCTGTCCTCAGTATGATGTCCCTTTGCTAAAGTTTTCCCTGTACTAAGCCATGCCTTTTTGTGATACCTCATTCAGAGCCTTATTTAATAGCATGTATTCTTTCTGTCCCCTCATATCTATGCCTACCTCTGATTTTCATATTCCTATTCCACACCTCAAAATACATAGCCACCTCTCGGACTTTAGGGCATCGTTAATATCATGAATTTGAATCCTTGGATTCTTATTTTTACCTTCTGGAAGAACCCTACTGGCCCTTTACTGGTTCCCTATGCAATGTTAATTAACTTGCTATGACACATTTTATCCATCTCCTGTATATTATCAAACATGCCTGTAGACAAATGACCGCCCACACCCCTACATGGCATGATTTGCTTTGTGTGGTTTTGATTGCTTGGTTTTGATTTTGTTTGGTTGGTTTTTTTTAGAGGGAGCCCCAAGCAAAAAAATCTTGGATCCAAGCACCTCTAGATAGAGGGGAAGTTTAGATGTGAACTCTTCAGTTGACATGTTTTGTTGCTTCTCTGTGCCCACTTCCCTCTTAGGCACATGCAGACACTGTAACTGCATGCACTCAGTGATTTGCAGGCATATTTTTGGCATGCTCTAATGGGACTCCACTCTTTGCAAATCTGATTCTTAATTCAGAAAGGAAATGTCAGTACTCTACCTCCCTGCCTGTCATCCCTATTTCAGACCCTGGTTTTCTTTGAGCTTCCCCAGCCTTGAGAACGGATCTTTCCTTTCACTTCTCTCTCCCATTCTCTCGTCTCTGCCTACAGGCGTTTATGTTTAGTGTTTCCTTTTCCATACCGTGTCCCTTGCCGTAAATCCCTTTCTTTCCTTAGCGTCTGGGAGATAGTGGGACAGCAAGGCGGGGGCCTGTCAGTCCTGCGGACCTTCCGTCTCATGCGAGTCCTGAAGTTGGTCCGCTTCATGCCTGCCCTCCAGCGCCAGCTAGTGGTCCTTATGAAGACCATGGACAATGTGGCCACCTTCTGCATGTTACTGATGCTTTTCATCTTCATCTTCAGGTGAGTACATGGCAAGAACTCGGATTTCCTTGCATGCCCTGTTCATGATCTGTACTTTAAGTTTCAAGGCTAGTGACTAGATGAGAATGGGAAGGAAATCCATAGGTTTCCTGATTGCTCAAAATCTTGAAGTGAATTGCTGAAAGAGAAACAAAGTAGCCTCCACTGATCTGAAGGGGAACTGGTATGGGCAGACCATCATCTGGCCCTAGGTGCCCTGCACTTGCTAGAACCTTGCAGTTCTTGCCAAATGTCATGTCTGTGTTTGTGAGGCTGTTCTTAAGGGAAATCCCTTCTGCTAGGTGATTCTTCCACAGGCATCACCCCAGGGTGGCAGATATATGACATCTCATTCCTGATGCGGCATAGAAGACAAGCTGAAAGCCTTACCCACAACACTATCTTCCAAAGAGCAGAGAAAGGAATTTTCCTAGTATAATCCCGACCAAGTTAATCTCATTCACACATGGTTCTTTTATCCCCTTTGCATTATTTCTTTGGCCTTCACCTGGCCTCTTCTCTCTGTCCAAAAGGTTTGGGATTGGATCCATGGAAAATGTAAGCAGCCCTGAACTTTGGGGGGTATTGGAAATCCAAACCCAGGTCCAGATATTATAATGAACTAAACCTACTCAGATTCCAGCCCCAGATGAGCCCCTCTCTAATATACAGGATGTAAGGCTGACTTGACACAAGCTATACGGATGGGAGAGTTGGCAGGATGCAGACTAAGGCTACATCTGCACTGCAGCACTTTTCCGGGATTCCGGAGGTATCCTGGAAAAACAACGCTACATCCAAGGAGCGCGTCCACTTCCAAGGAGCGCGTCCACTTTTTCGGAAAATTTTTTGAAAAAGCGGACGTGCTTTTTCACCATCCCAGTAAACTTTGCTTAACGAAGAAGAAGGGATGTGTCGAAAGAGGACTTTCCCCAAAATTTGGCACCTTGTAGACACGCCAAATTTCAGAAAAGCCTCTTTTGACAGTAAAGCAGAAAAAGATACGCAATTTGCGTATTGCAAATTGCGCTTCTTTTTCCGATTTATCTTTGTAGTGTAGACCTAGCCTAAATCTTTCTTTCCTCCATGGAGGGAAGTGTTGCTCCTGATAACTGGGCAGACAGTATCCTGAGACACAAAGGGCCATGACTTCACACTGCTTCCCGTAACATCATCTTCCAACCAGTCTTGGCTTCTTTTTATACTCAGTATCCTGGGAATGCATCTCTTCGGCTGTAAGTTTGCTTCAGAGCGAGACGGAGACACCCTGCCGGACAGGAAGAACTTTGACTCCTTGCTGTGGGCCATCGTTACAGTTTTCCAGGTACAACAGCAAGAACTCCTTACCAAGTGCACACTCTGGGGCTGCAAGAGAGCTTTCTAAAAAACATTCCAGAGCTCAATAAAACTAACATTTGAGGGGGAGAAAAACCAAAAAAGCATCAATGGTTGGGGGAGGAAGAAACATTTTCTAATGCTGCAAGACAACTAATGGTGTGATCTGATGAAAGGGAAGTTCCAGGAGATGCCAAAAGCTGTGGAGGAGAAGGCTCTTGCAGGAGCAGTGGTGAGACTGAGGCATGACAAAGGGGGAATTTGTGTGAGTAAAGGAGGGCTCTGCAAGCAAGGCTGGCAGAGGTCCAACAAGGCTTCCTAGCAAGACAGCCACCCTGGAGTCATTTTTCAGTCGTGAGGAAAATCAGCTTTATGGCAATAATTTGTACTTCTTATATATTGCTCTTAGCAAATCTGGACTGTCTTTGGCGGATCTTTATCTGTCTTTGCAGACAGAAGGGAGTGCCAGGGCATGCCACACAGCAGTCTTTTAAGGTGCTATGTGAACCGTGGTATCAACTGGAGTTCCATGCACAGAGTGGATTAGAGTGCAGGGGAGGGAGAAGGTAGGAGAATCAGGTGCAATCCTTGTCATTGCTCTGATTCAGTGGGCGACCTGAACCAAGTAACCATCTTTCTCTGCCTGTCTGGAACACGAGTGTACTCCCCTCCATTGCAGGCCGGTTGAGACGCAGAATAGCAGAATACAATTGTACAGCATTTTAGTATTCCGTATTACCAGTGTGCAGTGTTCCCCAAGAATAGGGGGTGTGCCTGTTTAAGGCTGAAGACATGCAGCTCTGCCCACCGGGAGCATAAATAAGAACCATGGGTGTCCCTAAACATGGGATCAGAATGCTGGGTTCATAGGAAATGTGCTGGGCTGTTGTGATGTTCCTTTGTGCTCATGGTGCCTTTTTGCTACAGATTCTGACTCAGGAAGACTGGAACAAGGTCCTCTACAATGGCATGGCATCTACCTCTTCCTGGGCTGCTCTCTACTTCATCGCTCTCATGACGTTTGGGAATTACGTTCTCTTTAATCTCTTGGTGGCCATCCTGGTGGAAGGTTTCCAGACTGAGGTAAAACCCTACAGAGCTCCTCTCTTTACATCTTTGTTTCCAGAGCAGGGGAGGGCCTAGAACCAGCATCCTTATGATTTCAGATTTACAAAAGGGAAAACTGATTCATTGGAACAAAGAGAGGAGGAGAAAAAAAAATAACTCTCATTTTTTTCTTTTTGTGTGTGTCTATGACCAAGTGCAATAAACCATCCTGTGTAACAGCATAAATGAAAAGCTTTGTTAGCATTACTATAACGGCAAGGATTCCGCTGTGTGTCAATCATTGCTGATGGAATAAAATGCTCTGGGAATATCTATGAAGGGAGCATTGTTGTGTTCGGGAGCCAGATTAAAAGCCATCGCTGTAAAGTGTTGCAGCCTGGTGAGAGATTAGTGAAATTAGCATCTTTTTTGATGGTCTGTGTTGTGCATCTCTTCCTGTTTGTGGCTCAGTGATACTTTTGTACATTTTTAATTTCATTGTTCCTAGGCTGTTGATTGATTCCCTGGGCTGGGGGCCTCCATTAAATATCCTCTACCTTCTGTAAGCATCTATGGGAAGCCAGTGAAGCGGTCTTAGATCTAAACTTCAACTTGACCCCTGTGTCTTCCTAACTATGTGGGTCACAGTGAAAGAATAAAAAACAGACTCCCTAAAACTCGCAGCCAACCAGCGCTGCCTGTCAGCCAGGTCTCTACTGGCAAACAGAAGTAAAACAATAAAATGTCCATGAGGAAGGAGAAGGGAAACTTTTTGCTTTGCTGAAGGGCTGAGGTAGGGAAGTACAAACCAACACTGTTCATCAGTGTCTGGTAGTATAGGTTGTCATTTAAAGCAATGTCTCAGCTGATGGATGTGAGTGTTGCGGGAATAATAAACATGGTTTGTCACCTCCCTATGGCATAATAATTCATCATACCATAACTAGCTATTCATATATCCTGCTAGTTTTCATATTTTCCAAGTGCAGTTTAAGAGGATAATTTGTTAAATAGTTCTGGGATGAGGCTGTAGGTATGTGTGTTGTCATTTTGCCCTGGGTTAGTGTGCTATTTTTAATTGCCTATGATCATATCCAGCTCTCTGTAAATTGTCTCCTCTGTCATGGAAAATGAAGTTAAGGTCATTGTCAGGTTCTTTTGAGCAACAAAAAATTTCCTTTCAGGACGTAGCATGTGCTTTGCTTAAGTAAAAGTAAGCACGAAAAACAACAACTTGTCCTCTTGTGAGTATTGTCTCAGCCTCTCTTTGGTCAGTCTTGTTTGTTGATTCTAGAATGGCCACCTGATTGAAATATCTGGAGAGTGCAAACCTGTTGTTTATTTGCTTTGAGGAAAATTAGTTTGATTCTAGATATTGGAATGGGGGATCAGATTCTGCTCTTTATACCAT